GTTACTCTGAATTTTGCACCTTCCTCTTCTACCCTATGCCCATCCTCAAACACCTTGAAAATCCTGTTAGACAGCATCATCTCTAGAACACTCCCTCAAAACTGCTAAAAAGAAACATTTAACATTCCCCTTGCCTATCTTCCTTTCACCATCACTCTCTTGTTACCAATGTCACACACTTTAATTAGAAGCCAATCTCTACCCTCAATGTCCTGAAATCATTTAGTCACTACAGTGAAAAGAGTACAAGCTTTGGAGTCAAGCAACTTTAATTATGAGTCTTGTGGTTCTTCTTTTACTACTCGGGTGACCTTGAACTAATTATTCCTGCTGGTTCTATACCTGTCTCTTCATTTGTTAATAGAAAATAAGAATTCCTAATACACAGATAGCATTTATAAAGCCTAATGCCTAGCCAGAGTGGCACTCAATAAAAGACAACTATTATGGACTTTTATGTGCCTAGAGCTGCCCTAGTTGCTGAAGGTAGCACTCTGAGACAAAAAAGATAGGGTCCTGGCCACCCTGTAGGTCACATACCACTGCTCAAGGACTCTTTCCACCAGGGATTTTAATTCCTGACCCATCCCTTATTAGGTGTGTGAACTCATATAAAACTCTCAATCTAAAATCTCAATTTCTTCATTTCTAACATGGTAATACTTGACATAACTGGAATAAAAGTAAAATTAGAATATATGTGAAAGTGCTTTGTAAATCATTATATGCTAAATAAAAGAAGATATTAAACAAAGAGTAATATATTCTTCTTCTCTAGGGCAAAGTTCTCCTTGCAACCAGTGTGCCAAGAATGGATTACATATGTGCTGAAATATTGACCCACACTCCCCAGCCCCACAGCCTTCATGAAACCAGGGAGGCCTGGCTACAGTCTGCCACACAAATACAATAATTTTCCATGTGTGCCATGATGCAGAACTTGCTCTAAAACACTATCTCATGTTAATAGAAATGAGTTGGCCAACTTACTCCTGCCCCTGGATGATTTAGGATTCACCACAAAACTCTGCTGTTCTTATGATCCTGCTCCAAAGACAGTGTGTCACAGTTTCCCAAAAGATAAAAGAGCATCAGCTTGAACATCAAAAGGCTGCTAGTCAATTGCTATCATAGTCATACAAAAATGAAACAAAATAAAAATTCTTTGGTGAGAATATGGTAAAGATATTGCCATATTTCCAGAAAAGATTTGAGCAATTTCCAGCAACACCTGCCTGTAATCATGCTAAGACAAAGGTCTAGGAGTAATGGAGGAGAGAGGGATAACGTAATTAGATAGATGAAGAAAGAAAAAAGGAATAAAGGAAAGAAAATATATATTTTTGCCTTATAGAGAATAGCTGAGGATCTGCGAGAGCTATTCAGTGGCTTCTGAGACTGCCTAAAGATAGTAGAGACCAAAGGTAAGATTAGTTTTAGATTCTTTTATTTCATAGTATTTTTTATACACCCTGGAACTAATGCTGGTGCATATCTGATTTTTAGACTATCCCTAAGTCATCATCTTCCATATTATATGGAGCTACTCTTTGCAGTCTGTACATATATTGTTAGTTTTTCATCTATAGCCGTATTACCTTAAATTCTCTGTTGAATTTACTCCTTATCCTGAATTTATTCCAACTCTATTCCAACTTATCATTCCGGAATATATTTATACCTCCAGACTCTCACAATGCTGAATTTATTTATTACTTAAAAATCTTTATTTTCACATTTTTCAACTCCTCGTATGTCATAATACACAGAGAGAGACTTATATCCACCCCTATGGGAAAAGTCTACCAAATAGCACTCCAAATTAATTTCTTTTTGTCCTACTTTTTGGTATGACATTCAACGAAGTATTTATCCACTGTAAATTAATAAAGGAAAACATCTTATTAGCATCTGATACAAAATCAGATAAGACACCTCCAACTTAGGCCAAAAAAGATGTAAAGAAAATATGGTACAAGCAGTCTAGAGCAGTAGCTAAGAGCTCTCAAACTAGAGTTAGACAACCTAGGTTCAATCCTGGCTCCACCTGTGTAATTCTGATTACTTTAGCAACAGTTAATCGTTCAGTTTCATTAGTAATCACTTAGTTTCTTCATCTATAAAATGGGAATTTTAGCTACTTTTTAAGGATGCTGTAAGGATTAGATGAGATAATCATATAAAGCACTTAGCATAATGCCTGGCACAAACTAAGTAAATAAGTGTTGATTATTGTTTTGGGGTTAGATAAAATCTATCTTCTGACTTCGTCATTACATTAGAAGAAAACTAACTTAGCACAATTTACTCTTTATAAATTTATGCTTTCTACTCCTCCCCCAGTGAGGATGTTAGACAGAGGAAAAATTATTTTATTTTGTGAGCAGAACTGGTTACTCTATATGGACTATGATGAGTTGGACTATGATGAGTAGTATAGGTCTCTTCAAGTTCTAACATTCCATGAAACAAGTGCAAACATTTAGAACTTCAATCCTTGATCAACAAACACTTCACAACTAAATCAGTAAGTTCAAATATGCACTCCAAACTTACAATAATAATATTCACAAAAGAGAACATTAATCTACCTAATATTAAATGGTGGGAAAGGGGATGTTAAGATAAGCAGCAGCATACTGAAAGTTACAGACCACACTACTGAAACATCTTATTTGCCCTTCCTAGCAAAGCCAAAGACCAAAGTAGATGCCTCAAGTGAAAAACAAGAAAATGAAAGCAAACAACTACAATCAGAATTTAATTTTTTTACACTGAACTGTAGTAGGTTGGTGGTATTGAATATGTATTTAAAAACTAATAAACCCATTAATTTATAAATCCACAGATCTCCACAGCATTACTACAAATAGCTATCCCTAAAAAGAAACCTCAAAACCACAAATCAGGAACTAAAGTAAGCAGTCTTACTTCCTTCTCTAGGTGTAGGAAAGAATTTAGAAACATTGACGTTTTGAAGTAGAGAGATTTCAGTATAAAGCTAGAATCTCTGCATTCTACTCTTCCCAAACAAGCTATCTACAATAGAAAAATAAAAGTCTCACAAAAAAAATTTTAATTAACTTCAACAAGACACTGATTATGTATCTGGAAGTTATATATCACATATATATATATACACTTCATATACATATATATACATATACATGTATACACACATATATACATACATGCATATATATATTTTACACACACATACATATACACACACTATCTGGAGGTTTTATACCTCCTTTGAGAATCTGATAAAAAGAACAGACTCTTCACCCTCCCCCACCCAAAATGCACTCAAAACTTTGCACATGATTTCAGAGTTGGGGTTGAATCACAGACTTCATAAAAGAGGGATCCTAGGACATAACCCAGGATTAAAAATAATTTGAAAAGAATTGAAAGTGAGGCAGAGATTTTTAATCCAGAAAATAAAATTAGAAATACTTTCTATTTTCTCAGATAATGAGTGTCAGAAGTGGTAGTTGGAACAGGGTGTTGGTCATGTCAAACAAGGAAAACAAGCAGGACATATCGGAGGAAAGGGGTAATTAAAACAGTACTAACATATAGTGTGTTATAATCACTCCGAGACGGCGGCAATGAAATGGCCAATCCTGCAGCCTTCACACAGGACTGATGTTAAAAGTAAGCAATGCTGGCGCACATTTCCATGCCATGAAGTTAAATGGTAAACGTGAACACATCCTTGCGGGTGAAAGCACAAGCTTATGAAAAGCCTTGCAAACCTTCCACTTCTCCTTCTCAGATAAGAACCGAGATAGAGAAAGTATATAGTTTAGGAAAAAACTAAGGGAGGGGCACAGAAATCCTGAAAGGGGGGGTTGGCTAAACGATTTGCAAGAAGTGTAAACTACATGTTTGGAGGTCAAAGGGCCCCAAGAGAGAGATAAGAACAAAACAAAGGAAGTAATCATAAAATAAAAGGAAAAAGCACCTACAAACTGGGCTGTAAATAAGAAATCTCTCTCCTCTTCCTAGACACGTAAACAGTAGTCACTTGGCACAGAGGAACGGAGAGGACGACAGCACAACTTCCTTCCCAACTCCAGCATTTCTTGGACCTTCCCACAGAAGCAAGGCTCCTCCCCCTGCACCACAGGCCCAAGGACCTCTCGGGGGGACTCCCGCTCTCCCCTTCCCCTCGCGGCGGGAAAGAGGAAGCGGGGGGTGCAGGGAGGTGAGAGAGGTTACGGCTGGACACCAAACCTGAAGACTTCGTCGAGAAAGACCGGGCTCCTGCAGCCCCCTCTCCCACCCGATGCATGCAATGCCAAGAGGGTGCCACCCTGGCAGGGCCAGCCCTCCTCCTACACCCGGCTGCTTTGGGGGACACACTCAGGGACAGAAGGGGCAGAAACCAAAGGCCGAATCCGTGGGCAGATATGGCAAAGACTAGGGAGAGAAGTGCCCTGGGAAAGTCCGGCGCCCCAAAGGCAACGTATCGGCCACAGCCAACCACTCAGGATGGCCTTCCCCCGCCTCCTCGCAGGTGGCCCGGCCCCGCCCTCACCTGTCGGCCGGGAACCACCTGGCGGCTCTCACGTCGAGGATTCTTCCTGCCGCTGCTCTCTGGAATCTTCTCAATCTTGGGGAGAAGTGAGCGGAAACGCCACTGGGGCCTTTTCCTTCTTCCCTCCCCCCACGCACCTCGGCTCCTCGGGGGCGGGGAGCTAATGCAGCTGTCACAGCCTCTCACTGACCAACCGCCGAGGACACAGACCTCCCAACGCAGCCTACGACACCCACAGGGAGAGCAGCGGAGCCGGAAGTGAGGAAACCGGAAGTAGCGCTGTCCTCGGCTCAGACGGCCTCTCTCTCCCTCAATCTCGCCCGACCCAGCCACGTCTCTATGGTGCCACGGCACCTCCCCCGAGGCCACCACCGCCCCCCCCCCCCGGCCCCCCCAGTCTCCGGGAGCCTGGCCCCGCCCCTCTCGCTGCGGCCTTAGCAACCACATCCGGGGCTCCGCCCGTGCGGTTGCCCGGGTAATTTTCTGGCTTCGGTGGGATCACAGAGGGGCGTGTACGCGGGTTCCGAGGCACCTGCCAGAGCTGGGAGCTTGCGCGGGCCTGAGCTTGACGGGTCGGAGGTCTCCAGGAGCCCTCAGCATCCCTCCTTTCTCATTCACACACCCCGGCCTCGCGCGTTAGGCGTCCCCCCAACAGACGGTGAGCCGGCGGCGGGAGGGTGGAGGCGGACGTAGCTCACCGCCCCGTAAATCACCGGAGAGCCCAAGCTCCCTTCTCCGCTGCGGGGAGCACCGAGGTTGCTCCAGTCCCGCGGGGGTGGCAGGTGGAGGGGATGCGGGGTCCGGGAGCAGATGCGCTGCGGGCGCCTCGCCGCCGCTGCCTGGACGCCTGGAGCGCCCCTCCCGGCCACGTCCTCACGCCCCCCCCTCGCGGGGAGACCCGACCACCGCGGCCGCGGGTATCCCCGAGTTCTCGTCACTGCTCTGTCTTTGCGATCACTGTCTGCTCTGCTCGCTCGCCGACAGTGGATCCCCGTACTTTTCTCTCCTGCTCCTATTTCTTTATCCATAGAACCGATTTTTTTCCCTTTCTTTGCCCCGTTACTACTTAAGTGGATCACAGACCCCGCTGGACAGTCCCTTTTTCTCAGAGCCCTTGGTGGTTTCCTAAATTGAGGCCCCCAACCTGTACTCGGGACACTCCCCCTCGCCCCGCACCGAGTGGAGGAAGAGTATGAATGGAGGGAGAGTACGGCTCCGCAGTGGTGCGAGACACACCCGACGCTCCTGTACATGCTGTGCACACAGTTGACGCCTCCGCACGTGCCTCCCTTCAAGGTTCTGGACTGCTTTGGACTGCTTTTCCTCGGACAGCGTGGCTGCTCATTTCTACCGCCATTTCCTTTAGAAATGCGAAGGGATACAAACAGTGCACTCCATATATACATATATATAAAATAATGCAGTGCCCCAAGGCAGACTCTGCCTCTATAAATTTCTAGGGAGTTTCAGGGAACAGTATATCCCTGTGTACAGATGTCTTCTCCATATCCGTGAATAGTATATACTCATGACACCACAAATGTTTCAAAAATAAAATAACAATATTTATTTTCTAAGATCTCCAGGACATCTCCTCTAGCAGAAATAGCACTGAAATCCCAAAACATAAATGGAATATCAATGGCCTTTATCTTAAATGGTTCTGTTTTTTTAAAAAAGAGCAAATATAAATGCCAATTCACCCAAACTGTCACAAGTTCTGGAGCTTACTATGGCCTTTCAGTTCGGAGCCATCCTGTTAGTCTTCTCCATTATAAGAAAAGGGTTCCAATTAGACTAATTACTGCTCTTATTGTATAGGAACCGAATGGACTGTAGTGGCTAAGGACAAGGGTTCTTGGAGTTCCCAAAGGTGACCAGGAGGAGCTGCCGGCTGTGCTGGTGGTGCTGGAGTGATGTGCACTTAGAACTGTTTAGGCTGACTGGTGTCTTAAGGACTCCTGCGAGCTGTCTTGAGTTTGGGGACACATAGCTTCATTGCAGTCAGTCTCACTATTAGTCTGTTAACACTCAGGTTTGTGGACACTTGCTTTAGTTATGCGTCCTTCGATGGATGATGTCCTCGGAAGGTGCTGCTGGCCTTGATAGAGATTCTGATGGACTTGGAACTAATGCTAACTTGTGCTTGGTGAGGGTGCTGTGGATCATGTTAGGTACTTAGTCTAGCGTGATCCTGGCACTGTGCATGATTAGTCCTCATATGCAGTGTGCAGAGCTATATACAGGGTTAATCTTCCCCATGATTTCTGCTGCCTCGAGGGAAATCAGAGTGCAGGTTGGCTGGAAGAAAACACTGGAAGCTACTTCAGCTGGTGGAGGAAAACAGTGAAAGTCTATGCAATTTCTTTGGGAAAAGGAAGCAGTAACAGGTATTCTTCAGATTTGGGGGAAATTTTTCATACTAACTGAAAGACATAATTTTAAACCTAACTCTGCTTAGATGGAGACATTTTTTCTTCCCTCTTTCTTCTCTCCCTCCTTCCTTCCTTCTTTCCTTTCTTTATTACCTCCCTTCCTCCCAACCTTTGTTCTCCCCCCCCCCCCCCCCGTATCTATCTTTCTCGGTCTCCCTCCATCCCTTCCGCCCTCCTTCCTCCTCTCCCCCACCCTCCCCCCTTCCTCCTCCTCCTCCTCCCTCTCACCCTGCCCCCTAGAGCTTAGGGAATTCTACTTAACCATTTTTAGGAAGAATAGATCATAACTACTTTTCTCTCAATTGGCAATTATGTTTGGAGAGGTAAGAAAGGAATAGCTGCCTGCCGTATATGTTTATGACAAGGGGATTTTCTACGTATTTATCTTTGCAGTGTTATTGTCTATTATTCAGCTTTCAAAAAATCAGGTACCATGTATTCATTTGGCTTATGAGGAACTCTGGCAGCCTATCTCATTTTTTGGCCAGAAAGAAAGGAGGCAACGGGTTAAAGGATATTGTTATTGTTCCTTTCTGAATGAAGTAAAAGTGAACATGACCTTTTCTCTTTGCTTTAGATGTTGAATGTTGTATACTGCTTATCAATATTATTTCCTCAATGAAAGAGGAAGGTGATACCTTTAGATCTTTTTTTAAAAAATATATTTTATTGATTTTTTACAGAGAGGAAGGGAGAAGGATAGAGAGTTAGAAACATCGATGAGAGAGAAACATTGATCAGCTGCCTCCTGCACACCTCCTACTAGGGATGTGCCCGTAACCATGGTACATGCCCTTGACTGGAATCGAACCCGGGACCTTTCAGTCCACAGGCCAATGCTCTATCCACTGAGCCAAACCAGTTTGGCGATACCTTTAGATCTTTTTGAGGGGAACTCCAGTAATGTTGTAATATTTTCATCGCTCTTTATTAGCAGTTCCCTTTTCATGCAGAAATAATTAGTTACTGATTGCACAGTATAATTCTCTGGAGACAACTTCTTTATTAGAGGATACTGATTAATGGAACACTTAAAGAAGCCCACAAGTGGTAGAATGAGTAGAACATAAGAGTAGACATTGTTTTAACTACAAAGAGAAAAAAAAACCTGAACTTAATCATAATTCCATTACCTAGAGTCAACATTCAACATTTTGGTTAATGTCTTTTTTTCTATGCATATATATTTTTTCTTCATTAACAAATTATTATTGAGAACCTTCTGTTTACTAAGCACTACAGGAATAGCCATGACCCACTGGCCTCCTGCAATTTTAAGTATATGTTGTATTTCTTGGCATAGTTTTGCATTTTGCTTTTTTCACTTATTAGAGTATGGAATTTTCCTCTCATCATTAAATATTCTCCTTTAGTGGCTCAGTAGTATTTAGCATAGATTTTCCTTAATTTACTTATATCTAATCCTTTTGGTTGCACATTTAGGTTATTTTAAGTCTTGTCTATAATTATAAAACAACTAGAGGCCCGTTGCAGGAAGATTCCTGCAAGAATAGGGCTTCTTGCAGCTGCCCTGCTCCCTCCCATCTCTGCTGCCTCGGCTCCGCTCTGTCTCTGCTGCCTGGGCTCCCTTCCTTTTCTGCTGCTTCAGTCCCTTCTGCAGCACTTGGCTTCCTTCTACGCTGCCTTCAGCCTTTGCTCCATGCCTGCGTATGCAAATTAACCACCATATTTGTTGGGTTAATTTGCATACTTGCTCTGATTGGCTGGTGGGTGTTGCGGAGGAACAGTCATTTTGCATGTTTCTCTTTTATTAGTGTAGATGTGAGGAATATTATAGTGTGGTAGAATTCTAAAATGATTTCCAATGATCCTCACTTTGTATAATTCTCTTCCCTGTGAACGTGATAGAATATCATTCACATGATTGTTATATACAAAAAAAGACACTGCAGATGTAATTAAGGTTACTAATCAGTTGACTTTGAGTTAATCAAAAGGGAGAAAATCTGGGTGGACCTGAACTTATTACTTAGGCCTTCTAAGAGTAGAGCGTTTTCTCCTGTTGGTGGCAGCAGAGGAAGTCAGAGGGATTGGAAGCATGAGAGAGAATTGACTTAGGAAGGCCATAGGCAAGCACCTGACCTCCAGGAACTGAGAGCAGTCTCTGCTGACAGCCAACAAAAAACCAAGGACCACAGTCCTACATCCACAAGTAGTTAAATTCTGCAGATAACCTGAATGAGGTTGGAAGCCAATTTTCCCCCAGAGTCTCCAGATAAGAGTCCCACATGACTAGCAACTTGTTTTCTGCCTTGTGAGACCCTTGTGAGATAATAAATAGCTGTTGTTTTAAGCCACTAAAAGTGTGGCAGCAATAGAAAATGAATACATTTGTAAGCTAGATTATTTTTACATCTATAATTATTTGGATGGGATAAATTGCAGATATAGACTTGCTGAATAAAAGTTATGGACATTTTTAAGATTTTTGTATCATATAAGTAATTTGCCCTCTATAAGCTTTAACCAATTTATGTGCCTCCTAATAACCTATGTTTTTGCATTCTGGCAAACACTAGATATGGCCATTCTGATAGGCAAAAACCAAAACCAAAAAGGTATCTCCTATTTTGAAAGAAGTTTTACATTTCTATTATGACCAGTAGAATTGACCATTGTTTTCTTTATTTGGGGTTCAGTTGGCAAGTCTTTTTTAGTGAATGCCTATTTTTATTCTTTAGTTAGCTTTATTATTGACATAGATAAAATAGTTCCTAACATGTAGTACAGCATTTTTCTGTTGTAATATTTTTAAGGGTAGAATGATTAATGAGCTTAATTGAGAGAATGAGTACTTCTGAGAAATTTTAGCTGCTGCCACATACCCAAACGTAATATTGTGGGAGAATAGAAAATGTCAGTTTCTTGATTAAACAGTAGATGCTCTATTCTTTTCTAGGGAAAAATATCTAGCTTGTCTGATTAGAAATGTGGTTATTTCAAGAATAAAGATATATTGTATCTTACCAGGGAAAATTATAGCTTCTACAACTGTTTTATAAGGAAATATGTGCTATTATCTATCAGAAAAAAACCCTAATATCTTCCTAAATAAACATATCATTTTTCTTTTTTAAAAATATTTTTATTGTTTTTTTAGCGAGAGAGGAAGGAAGAGGGATAGAGAGATAGAAACATCAATGATGATAAAGAATCATTGATTGGTTACTTCCTGCATGGCCCCCACAAGGAATGGAGCCCACAACTGACGGGGAATCGAACTGGTGACCTCTTGGTTCCTGGGTAAACGCTGAACTGCTGAGCCACACCGGCTGGGCAACATATCACTTTTCAATTTGATCAAGATAACAAGTAATCTCTGGTCATGTATATTATATTGCTTTATTTGGGATGTGGTAAGGGAGGAAATTCAAATTACTTTTTCTTTAATCCTTGTGCTTTGAGATAATAGAGTTTCTTTCTGACAAATGAAATAAGGTAGAAGGAAAAAGGGAGGGATAAAAGAAAAGAAGAAAAAAGGAAGAAATGAGAAAAATTGGGAGATTGAAGAATAGTTTTGCTTAGTTTTGTCTTTACATAAAAATTGGTTCTTACTACCTCAATTTCTAAAGGTTGGCATCTTCCTAATAAGAACAAGATATTCATAAATTTTTACTTTGAAATGATAGATGTATAGGAAATTACACAAAAACATACAGGAGAGCCAATATATGAGAAAAAAAATTTTTTTAGTTGAATGGTAAAATCTTATTTACTTACAAAAGTTATCCTTCCCTCGGTTGCTGTTTGTGTTCACAGAATTCATAATGGCCTGTTCTTCTGTGGAGGTCTGATATTGCTTTTGTTGTTATTAGGTTTGGATAGGCATTGGAAATGCTGACTTTGGCTTTGTGCTGGGGGTATAGAATGTGTAACTATTATCAGAAGAGGCCACACCAGTATGGTTCAAGGACACTGTACTATAGTGAAAAGAATGGTAGACTTGACATTAGAAAGCCTGGATTCCGACTGCACTCAACCACATTATAACTATATTACTAGAGGCTCAGTGCACACGAAGTCGTGCATGGTTAGGGTCCCTAGACCTAGCCTGGCCTCCATCGCATGGCCTCTGTGGCCCTGCGACACTATGTGAAGCTCCCCACCCCAGGATGCTCTGCGATGCTCACAGCCCCTCGACTGCTCCATGAAGCTTGCTGCTGCCCTGCAAAGCTCACCGCTGGATGCTCTGCGAAACTGCCCCCTCACCACCACTGCTCCCCGAGGCTCCCCCAACCCCGCAACTGCTCCACAAAACTCTTCTGCCCTGTGACTGCTTCTCAAAACTCGCTGCCACCTGGGTGACTGCTCTGCTAAGCTCATGGCCACCCTGTGAAGTAGCTCACCACTGCTGCTCAACAGTCCCCAGTCCTGCCTCGCTGCCAGCCCCCCCCATGGTGAACAGTTTGGGGGTCAGGAGAGGGGGGGTGACCAAGAGGTGCTCCATGCACTTCATGGTGACCATTCGCCTGTGCAGTCATGATGGCATCTAGCTCTTTATATATATTAGGACTAGGGGCCCAGTGCACAAATTCATGCACCTTGAAAGGAATTGTGGGCTGCAAGGCTGTGGTGGGCATGGGTGGGTCTCAGCCCATCCTTTGCGCCCCCACCTGGCCCCTCCCACCACAGCCCTCAGCCCCCTGTCTGCCAGCAGCCCTTCGGGATGATTGAGGCCGGCAGCTGCCGCTCGCACCTGCTGACGGTACCCTGAGATTGGGACCTACGCTGGGCACCTGCAGTGGGTGTGAGTGCCGGGCGGGACTGTGGTGCACGGGAGCAAAGAATTTTCAGTAACCACCAGAGGCTTGCCCCAATGACAGCGACTGGCACCCCGCCTTGGTCTGGTGCTCCTGCTCACCTGCTCCACCATCCTGCTATGGCCGACACCCGCCATGTTCCACGCTCTGCCGCCTGGTGCCAACTCCTGCCATGTTCCTCGCGCGCCCCTTGGTGGTGAGCGCAGTCATAGCGACTGGTTGTTCGGTTGTTCCGCCATTCAGTCTATTTGCATATTAGCCTTTTATTATATAGGATGAGCTTTGAAATCCAGTTTGACCTTACTCCTGAGTTGTTTGGAATATAGGAAGTAAAGCAGTTTAGAAATTAAAGCCTAGGCTATCATAATTATTATTAAGATCTTTCTTGCAAATAACAACAGTGGTAAACTCCTTAACTGGTTGTAACTCCTATGATAAAAATTATTTCTTGATTTGGACAACAAAGGCAGAGGAATTTTGACAAAAAGTTTTTTCAAAAAATTTTGAGCAAAAAAAAAATGCACGTGTCACTTGAAACTGAGGAGTACAGGGAGAAAAACTAGAGGAATGGAGCATCCACACTAGTTCATACAGCGTGACACCTGCATATCAAATTAGCTTGTTATCTTAGTCTGCAATAGTTCTAAAGACTATGGATTCAGTACTCTTTGGTTTAAGAAACTTTGCTTTCAGTATCTACAGGGTGGGCAAAAGTAGGTTTCTAGTTATTTGCAGGGGAAAAAAACAAATAATACAATAATTAATTCATAAATAATAATACAAAAATAAACTATAAACCTACTTTTGCCAATCCCCGTATTGTAAAATCTTGAATTTTATAGACTGACACAACAAAAGTGACATTAGAGCAGTGGCTCTCAACCTTCCTAATGCTGTGACCCTTTATACAGTTCCTCATGTTGTGGTGACCCCCAACCATAAAATTATTTTCGTTGCTACTTCATAACTGTAATTTTGCTACTGTTATGAATCATAATGTAAACATCTGATATGCAGGATGTATTTTCATTGTTACAAATTGAACATAATTAAAGCATAGTGATTAATCACAAAAACAATATGTAATTATATATGCTTTCTGATGGTCTTAGGCAACTCCTGTGAAAGGGTCGTTGGACCCCCAAAAGGGTCGCGACCCACAGGTTGAGAACCGCTGCATTAGAGAGAAGATAGGATGATGAGATCATCACCACACACTTACTGAATATCTCCTAAGGCACTAAATAATTCTGCTAAGTGTTTTACACTCTTTCATTGAATCCCATTGAAAGTGCAATAATTCTCTGAGGCAGATGCTATAGTTAACCCCTATTTTACAAGTAAGAAAACTGAAGTCAAATTAAGTGAACTACCCAGGATCACATAAGTACTAAATGGCAGAGTCATTTGTCAATTCAAATGTGCCTGGCACCAAAGCTCCTGTCTTTACACTATGATAAGCCCTTTATTCTACAGAGAAGGGAAGTAGAGAGACTAAGACATATGGTCGCTCTCCTTCGTAGTCTAGGTCTTTTTCTGCCTTATAGCCTCTTAATAACTTGTTTATTTTTATGCATTTTGTCAAGTATTTCTGGCCTCGGTGCATCTGACTAATGCATCAAATGGATACAAAAATTAGTAGATACTTTTAATTGATACATTTAGATAGAATAAGTTTTAGATTTTAAAACTATGTAATGAATTCACTTGAATGGATTTTTAGTGAAGCATTTTCTACCAGATTCCCATAAAGGAGACACTGTCTCTCATGTGCTATTAAAAGTTGGACCTTGTGACTACTGTCTGACTATGTTTTTCTTTTAGAGAAGTCAGAGGGGGCAGTCTGACTTCATGTAAAAAATAGCCACCAAAGATATATCCAGCATCATTTTTAGTTCTTTAATTTTGGTCAGCCCACATTTTCAAAACAGATTAAATTTGTCTGGTTTATTTCAGAAGTATATATTACAAAGCATTCAAAGGCAAGTGAAAATTCAAATGCACAGAGCAGAGCCAGAGAGCCTTCTACAGAGGCTCTTCAGAAGGTAAGCATTTCTCCTGCTTTGGCTATTGTATTTTCAGAAACATATTCTCATTCTTTTTTTATTATTAAAAGCATAACTCATTAGTGTAAATATTTTTCATATTCATTTGACATATTGCTAAAAATGCTGTTCTGTTTGTTTTTGTATTTTCAAGAGACAGAAGGTATACCGTCAAGCCCTAAGGATTCTACCGTTTCCTTCTCTACCCTGAAGAGACTTGGAAATTAATGGGTAACATTTTGCATGAAAATTTCTAAATGCTACTTGTTCTTATCTCTGAGGCCTTCTGTGGAGAATTAATAGGAGGTTGAATGAGCAAATGGATAAAGTGAACCGTCTTAAAGGATTGAAGTTCCAAAAATATATCAGCAGGACTGGACAGGTTTGATATAATGAGATTTCTATTTTAGCTTGACTTCTGAAACTCTGAATAAACTATAAACTGAGCTACACAAGGTCCTGGGAAGGAAGTTTTTCTTCTAAACTATTCTAGTTACATATAACATTTTTCTTATTTAGATCCTTTGAAAAAATATATATTTAGTCATCAATAGGAATAAGACTATTATACATATACCAACTTGTAATGTATGACGTGGGAGAGAAAGTAGCAAATTGTGTCATACAGGAAAAGACATTTAATTAAAGAAACAGACACCAGGAAGAGGAGAAATCTCTATATAAGTGCTGGTTGAGATGGCAGAAGCTTCTGCAGATGCCTCAACTCTCCCCGTAACAGTGAAAAAGAAGAAAAGTTTATCCATTGAAGAAAAGATCGACATCATAAATGCAGTAGAAAGTGGCAAGAAAAAAGCAGAGATTGCAGCTGAATATGGAATAAAGAAAAATTCATTGTCCTCTATTATGAAGAATAAAGACAAAGTTCTAGAAGCCTTTGAATCTCTGAGATTTGATCCAAAGAGAAAAAGACTGAGAACTGCTTTCTACACAGATCTGGAAGAGGCATTAATGAGGTGGTATCGAATTGCTCAGTGTCTAAATGTACCAGTTAATGGTCCAATGTTGCGTCTAAAAGCAAATGATTTTGCCCAGAAACTGGGACATAATGATTTTAAGTGTAGTAATGGTTGGCTGGATCGCTTTAAATCCAGGTATGGTTTAGTATTCAGAGCTCAACCTGTAGAAGCTACAGGTGTATCAGTAGACCCTTCAGCGGTGTGGCACCAAAACGTACTTCCTTATTATTTAAATGATTATCATCCTAAAAATGTTTTTAATATAAAAGAGACTGGACTGCTTTATCGAATGTTACCTACAAATACATTTGCATTTAAAGGAGAAACGTGCTCAATTGGAAAGTTATGCAAAGACAGAATAACGCTGGTGGTCGGGACAAACATGGATGGCTCCGAAAAACTTCCTTTGCTTATCATTGGGAAAAACAGAAATCCACATTGTTTCAAAGGAATAAAATCATTGCCTGTGTGTTATGAAGCTAACAGAATGGCATGGATGACCTCAGATATATTTGAACAGTGGATGCAGAAGCTTGATGAGAAATTTCAAGCCCAGCAACGAAGAGTTGTGATTTTTGTTGATTCTCTTCCTGCACACCCAGAGGTAAAGAACCTGAAGTCCATTGAGTTAGCATTTTTCCCATCATGTTTGTCTCCCAAATTTATAGCTATGAAACAAGGTGTTATTAAAAGCCTTAAAATCAAATATCGACATTGTCTTATCAAGAAATTTTTAAGTTCTGTTGAAGGCAGCAAAGAATTTACATTTTCCCTACTAGATGCAGTTGACACATTGCATCTCTGTTGGAGGGCTGTAACCCCAGAGACTATTGCTAAGAGCTATGAAGAGGCAGGATTCAAATCTCAACAGGGAGAAAGCGACAAGACAAATACAGAGTCCAACACTGGTCTTGATTTGGTGTCCCACGCCCAAGCAGCGGGAGTGGAGTTTCCTGAAGGTTTATCTATAGAAGAGTATGCTGCCCTGGACGATGACTTGGAGACATGTGAAGCAGCGCCAAGTGGTGATACGGTCTGGACCAAAGAAAGTAAATCAGATGAAACTGGATTTTATACTTCTGATGAAGAGGATGATGGTGGGTCTCTGGGAACTGAACTTCCCTTACCCTCAAAAAATGAGGCAATAACTGCTTTAGCTACTCTTAAAAATTTTCTTAGAAGTCAAGATATGAATGATGGGCTTCATAATTCTTTAGCAGACCTTGAAATTTTTATTAACTCTTTATCACTTAAGTAATTAATTATTTTACAACAACTGAAGACTAGTACCTTTTCCTGATATATTTTTCTATATGAGGTATGTAAAGGGAAAATACCACAAACACAAAAAATGAAAAATTAGTGCATTTGGTTTACTTGCAAATGTCTGGTCTGATTAGTAAAATTCCCTACGTAAATTAAGTAAATGAAAAAGCTGAATTTCAATTTAGCAAGCTTTTGAAAAGTAGAAATGTATTTCAGAGGCCTGTACTTGAAAAATATGGTAAATGTGTTAAAAATAAAAAACTATCCAGCTATCTGATTTATACAGATTGAATTGGTGATTACTATTTTCTTTCTTTTTTAATGTGTACGTCATGTTCCAGAATATTTTAGCTTAACTACCTCATTTAAGGAACAAAATCTTTATTATTGCTTAGATATTTATTTTATAAGTACATATATATGCCGTGTATGTTTTAACTAGACTCTTAAGGATCAAGTATTAATTTTAAATTTTTAAATTTTTCTCATAACGAGCTAATATTTTTAAAAATAAATGATAAAAAAAAACTACTGAAAATAAAACTGGACCCAATCATACACCAAAATGATTAAAAATTTGTCTTAACTATTTTCAAGTTATTTCTATATAAGTTCAAACAAAAGACTGTGACATCAGACTTTTCTTATCATCTAAAAACAGAGGATGATATGGATTCTTTCTAAATATTTGTATGTATATGTGTGTGAAAATAGTAAAATACATTATTGAAACATTTGTTAAACTCTTATGATATTTATATTGTAATAATACTACTCTTAAAAAGGAGACATATGTACTACTCTTTGTAATACTTTAAGCAATAAAATAAAATTTAAAAATAAATAAATAAAAAATAAATATGAAGATTACATATATTGCTACTAGAAAAAAAATATCTTATGTGGTTCTTAGTTTTCTAATTTTAACAGCTGAAGCTTATAATCTATAATATTTATTTCCTTGATCTTACTGAATCTTATTTTTAGTAAAAGCTGAGTGTCCTTTAGCATATTCTAATGTATTTAATCCCCCTTCCATGGTAATATTTTGGATTAAATTTCTGTTTGAGGAAGCTTTGTCTACAGAATGTTTTAAAATATTGTATCCAATTATTTACTCTTTATCCACAAAATAGTCTGTAAACAGTAAAAATATAACAATGGGTCAGACTTTTATTTTTTACTTATTTATTTATTTTTTAAATCTTTGTTGAAGTGATACATAGATCCTCCTTTTTCCCCCATTAACCTCTTCCAGCCCGCTCCAGTCCTCCCCACCCCCAGGCCCTCACCACTCCTTTGTCTATGTCCATGGGTTATGCGTATATACATACAAGTTCATTGGGTCAGACTTTTATATTGTTAAATTTTAAATTGTATGCTTATTTAACTCATTATATCTAATTTAGGGTCCCCTTTTAAAACTATTTTGGAAAATGTAAAACATTATTCAGTTTCTTTTTATTATGAATTATTAGTGTGCCAACAAGACACATTTCAAATGAAATATTCATAGAAAGTATTTTTATTTTCCATTGTTGATTTACTCTGCTTTTGAGATTTTGTAATAGCAACACTTAAAATGTGTTAAAATTAAGAGTTTGTTTTAGAATGAAATATGGATTATTAAAATCATTTTTATTGATGATTTGATTTAAAATTTTAGTGTGGTAGAATTTTGGGCCGAAAGTAGCTCTTCAGAGCCCCAGCTATAAATATAATATCTGGCATATATTGAGTTCTCAACAATTTTTTTCTTTCTTTTTGCATTTCATAACATTTTTAGATCAAATATTTTCATTTTAGTCATTTAAGATACTCTATGACATAAGGATTATTATCTTCATGTTTACAGATGAGGAATTTAAAACCTGGAAATACTAAATTCTTTGTTTAGAATATCAGAGCCCAAGCTAAATGCAGCAGTTCCCTGTCACCTCATCCTGTGTTATTCTAACTAGATACCTTTATGCTGCTTTTCTGTACTCTATAAAAGAAAATTCTATTATTTTCCCCTTGAATTTAGGGGCCTGAGGGTGAAATATTTCAGAGAACATGCTGAAACTATGCTGATGGCTCTATCACAAGATCTCTCCTGAGAACACTATTACTAATGAAATACTGGAAACCATCTGATTTGGCAATTCTGTACCATTCTAACACACAGGTTCCAGTGGAGTTCTATTGAAAGTATTTAAAGCAACTTTAATATTTCTGAAGTGCAGAAAGCATCTACTCCTTTTTTCCTTTATATGATATGACTCCTTTTTTTGTTTTTGTTTTTACTTCTAGGGCATAATAAACGTAAAGATGATTTAAAAAAGACAAGGTTGCTATATAAAGGATAAGAAAAACTTAACTTCAGATTTAAATTCAAAGACAAACTTTAAGTTGTTAATGTTGTACACTCTTCTGTTAAATTTACAAAATATGTAGATGCAAATAATTTTCAGAACAATGAAAGTTAAATATTCATTTGTCCTAGGACATAGAGGATTGCGCTGTATACCTTGCTCCTGATTTATCTTCTCTATACAATCATTGCAAGTTGGACCTAAATGCCACTTGTCTTTTCACCTGTTTTTCAATTAAATGTGGCATTATTTCCATTGTTTCTTGCCTTATAATTTCCTACTGTTTCAATGTGGTTTTTGCTTCTTTCTACTTCATCAAGCAACAAACCTTGAATTTGGGACATTATTTCACTACCAATGGCTACTGAACTGCTAGTGAAAGGTTTGGTTCAGGATAAAGTAGGACAATGAGTAAATCAAAGCCTGTGGGTTTCGTGTTGCCTGCCTGGCTTCTCATTTGGACCTAAGGTTAAATGTCTAACATCGCTTTTACTGAATACAAAGCAGAATAACTGGGAGGGGGAGGAAACTAGGGGAGGGCAGAGCTAAAGGAGAGCTTCCCAAGCAAACACCTCAGATGTCAAGAGAAGCCCTTTTCAATTACTGGCCCAAAAGGGACTCGGTAGAGACCGGCAGAGAGAGATTTGCCCCTTAAGAGAGGCAGCACCACGTATCTGCTGCCTCGAAGATTCAGAGTCTAGTGATGGGCTGGATCTTTGGGAGCACCATGAGCTCCCTGAGCGAAGGACAGTGCAGCCTAAGGCAGCCAAGAAGCTACACCAGATGCTGGGAGATCCTACCACCACAGGAGATAAAAGACTAGGTTGGGGACCATAGTGTGCACACAATAAGTTCTCGGAAAATAATCCCACTCAATGGACTAAATTACTTTTAGCCCTAGTTTTATGCTTGCAAAAAACATTTCATTTCTCTGAACTGTTTGCTTCATCCATAAAATGAGACTGACACACCATTTGAATTTCTTTTGAGGAAAGAAAATTTTGCATATGAAGACATTTAGCAAACTCTAAAATGTTCCACAACTATAGGGAATGGCTAGAAAGGTGCTTTCGTTCCTACTTCCAGATATGCCCAAGTATTAACGTTGTGGTCACTAAACATTAATGACCAATTTTCTTATTGGAATTTTTCTGTGCAATAAAATAGGGAGGCTAACATTTCTAGAAATATGCAATTTCTCTGTAGAACTAAACATTTATTTTCATGTTGAATGAGGGAATAAGGTGACTTAGAAATCTTCATTTTTCCTGACTTGATCATTGTGCAAAGCAATTCAATAAAATAAGTATTCATCACAAAGGTGCCCTTTCTGTCACCACATTAGTTCCTTCAATTGTATTATTTCCTTGGGCTGTGAAGCCAAGGATAACCCAGAGCTCAGGGGAGACTAAGTAATATAAACACGGTAGTAGTCTGCATGGGCTGCCATAACAAAATACCAAAACACCATAAACTTAACAACAGAAATTTGTTGTTAAGTTTGGCTTAAACAACAGAAATTTATTTTCTCAGTTCTGGAGGCTGGATGTCTGAGGTTAAGGTGCCAGCATGGTCAGTTTATGGTTAGGGTTCGCCCCTTGCTTTATAGATAGTCACGTGACTCCTTTGTGCCAAAAAACAGAGAGAGAGAGAGAGAGGGAGAACACCAAACTCTTTGGTATCTCTTCTTACAAGAGCACCAATCCCATCATAGAGCCCTCACCCTCATGGCCGCACCTAACCCTAATTTGCTCCCAAAGGCCCTGTCTCCAAATCAAATACCATCGCACTGTGAGTGAGGGTGGATTTAGGGATTCAACATAAATTTTTAAGGGGAACAGTCCATAACAATTACCTAGTACCAATGAAATGTTTTCTAACCATTGGTTAAATAGATGAATTATTCAATAAAGGTATGCACATATTAATTGTTTCCAACTTGCTAAAAACTGAAAGAGAAGAGCATGCGTATTTTAGGATGTTAATCAGCTATAGCTATTAGGATGGGCTTTAAAGTTTATGAAACTTAAGAAGTAATATGGAACTATATCATGTCCTTGAATCAATAGGAAGAGTTAATATAGAAATCTCTTTCCTCCAACTTAATCCCAATCAAAACCCCAATGCAGGTTTACTGAAAACTTTGTAAAATAATTCTGATTTTCACCTAGAAGAATAAATACTATGTATCAATATCTAAGAAAATTTTGAAAAAAACAAGTATTTGATTTAACAGAAGTTTAAACAATATGGTGTAAAAAAGAGAATTAAAAGGTTATCAAAGGAATAATATATGATATCTAGAAAAATACAATAAATTTAGCATATGATAAAATGGTTTTTAATCAGTGGTTAAATAGATGAATTATTCAATAACTGGTATTGGGCTAACTGGCTAAATATAGGATTTTTAAAGTCATTCATCAAAATGAATCCTAAAAGCATTAGGCTTTTGAAATGAAAGAAAGAAGGAAGGAAGGAAGGAAGGAAGGAAGGAAGGAAGGAAGGAAGGAAGGAAGGACAGAAGGAAGGAAGAAAGGAAGGAAGGAAGGAAGGAAGGGAAAAGAGGAGAGAACAGAAAGAAACTTGCAAATACTAGGAAAAATATAGTTAAATCAAAATATTTTCATATTTTAATAGGTAAAATATTTTTAAAAGTGACACTCAAGAAAATTCATTGAGAATAAAAATACCAAAAGTATGAAAACATTTTCAAAATCACTAGAAATCAAAGAAATGCAAACAAAAACAATATTTTTTTGTGTGTGTGGGGGCAGGGAGGCTATCACAATAGACAAGATTATAAAGAACTAGAGGCCCAGTGCATGACATTTGTGCACTGGTAGGGTCTCTAGCAGCTACCCACTGCCGGCAAGGGCTCCCCTCCCTTCCCCCAGCCAGCCCCACCCCCTGCTCGAACTCCCGGACAACTCCCAGTCGAGGGGGACAATTTGCTTGCTACTCTTTTATTATATAGGATGACAATAGACAAGCACATAGAGAAGTAGGTGCACTGTTGTTGGGAATATAAATTGGTACATTCTTATAATTATACTGACATGTATTAAATACTTACTAATTACCAAACATTGTTCTAATTGATTTACATGCTACCTCACTTAATTCTCAGAATAACTCTGTTATCATTCCCATTTTGCTGCTGAGAAAATTCAAGTATAGTTATAGCTAATAAATTAACAGAACTAGGATTCACATCCAAAACATCTTACTTAAGTAATGTAGTACATGATACAAATTTATCCTAACAAAACAAACATATCAAGGACATTTGTTGCAGTGAATACACATCTATTGTCCCTTATCCAGAACCCTGAGAACATGTTTCAGAATTTAGAATGTCTCAGACTTGAAAAAGATAATATATGTGTGCTAGTATATTCTATATAACACCCCCAGGGCCAATTAGGACAGCATTCCTCAAACA